GCAGCGAGAAAGGCCGGAGCACCTGCTGCGGGCCGATGGAGGTGGCGCCCAGCAAAGATGCAGACTCCTGGACCACAACTCCCAGGGCTCCTCGCGCCGACTCGCGAGCGCCCCCCTGCGCCTGCGTGCGCCCTGACCGCTCTAGGCGGGGAGCCGTCCGTCGGTGGGAGCACGGGACCTTTTGCCCAGCGTCTCGGAGCTGAGAGCTGCGGTGGCTGCGGGCGGCTGCGACGTGGGCGGAAACGGAGGGGGAGCTGAGCCTGGCGGGTGAGTAGGAGCCGCACAGGGCGCCAGCTTCTCTGCGCCTCAGCAGTGTTGTCTTCTAAATCGGGCGTGCGAGCGCGCCGCGGGACGCCCCTCGGGGAAGAGGCCTTGTGGTCGCCCCCGCTGTGGCCCAGCTGCTCCTTAGCGGTGCGGGTCCTGTCCCCAGCAGGCGGGAGAGACATTATGGTGTTTGATGGTGTTTGTTGGGGAGGGGAGGCTTTGGGAGGTGATTAGTTTGGCAATTTCAGGAAAGGGACTAGTGCTTTTATAAAAGAGAGTCCAAGAGCTCCCTTGCCGTGTGAGGACATGGAAACAGGTGCCATCTATAAACCACAAAGTGAGCCTTCACCAGACACCTGCCTTGATATTCAACTTCCTAAAACTATGAGAAATAAACTTTTATTTTACCAAGACTGTGTTTCATGGTGTGGGTACTGGGGATTAAATATAGGTCCTCTGCATTGAGGTACATCTCCAGCCCTGTTTTTTAAAATTTTGTTTGTTTGTTTTGAGTCAGGATTTTACTAAGTTGCTAAACTGCCCATGTTGGGCTCCAAATTTTAATCCTCCTGTTCAGCCTCCCAGAGTGCTGCGATTACAGGTGCGTGCCACAACACTCACCCTCAGTCCATCATACATATTTTCATTACAGCATACAGAAAGATGGCCAGACAGAGAGCAAGCATGAAGTAGAGATATTCCACCGGGTACCCTGTGTGGACTGAGCACTGTCCACACTGCTCTGGATAGATGAATGAAGTGAACTGAGAGGGCAAGGTCACACACATGGATATGGAAACCATCCATGAACATGGACTTCAATGTTCAGAAAGTAGTCTGGAAGAAGAGGCAGAGAGAGATACAGGCCAAAGATTAAACTTTAGAGAAGCAGAACTTTTGACATGAGCACAAATGGGCACAGTCTAGCCATTTCCAAAGGCTCAGGTATTTCGGGGACAAGTACACAGCAAACTCAAGTATTTTAGCAGCACTTGTGTTTCAATCAGGGCAGATATCGGGAACTGGAACCACTAAAGAGCTTGATCTTTGAGGGAGATTTGCAAGTTTTGGAGCTAAAGTTGCAGGGGACTCTAGATCAGGACCTGGGAAGAGGACAGGTAGGTAGGGGAGAGAGAAGAACAAATGAGGAGCAGAAAACTCAATAAGGATCAAGAAATATGACATGAGGGGAGATCCGGTTGAGTTGTGCCATATTCTGGAAGTCAATTTGCAAAAGCAAGGATGAAAAATGAAGCTGTCATTGGATGTGGTGGCACATGCCAGGATTCTCAGCACTCTTGAGAGGCTGAGGCAGGAGAATCAAAAGTCTAAGTCCCATCTGGGCAACTTAATAAAACACTGTGTCAAAATAAAAATAAAAAGAGCTCACGCCACCTGCCTCTCAAGTGCAAGGTCCCAAGTTCAATCCCCGGTACCAAAAATAAATAAATAAATGAATTACATACATTAATAAATAAATAAATAAAATTTTTTAAAAAGAGCTCAAATGAAAATAAGATGTAGCTCAATGTGAAGGCCCTGGGTTCAATCCTCAGTACTAAAAAAGAAAAACAGAAAAAAAGGAAATGAGGGAAAAAAAGAGGGATGGAGGAAAGGAGGGATGGAGGAAAGGAGGGAAGAAGAGACGAGAGAGAGAGAGAGAGAATGATAAAGTTTTTTAAAAAATCTATCCTAAACCCAACCAACTCTCATCACCTCCCCAGGACCACTTGGTTCAAGCTCCAACTTCCTCTCTCACCTGGATCTTCCCAGCAGCCTCCTCACCAGGCCCCCTTGATTCTGCCCTCATAGTCTCCATAGTTAACCCCTCTCTTGGAAGAGAGGTGTTGGTTGCCAGTGGCACCAACAGAAGATTACAGGGTTATATTTTCAGCCCCAATTCTGAGTCTGGGGATGAAGGAAGGAACAGAGATTAATCTAATCATCAATGGCCAATAAAGCCACCATCAAAGCCTTAAGTGATGGAGAGCCTCCAGGTTGGTGAGCAAGGAGGTTCTGGAATGGCCCGCCTACAGAGGCATGAGAGTGCCACGGATCTTTCTAGAACCCTTGCCTAGGCATTATTTCCCCTTTGGCTGATCTTGAGTTGTACTCTTTAATGTGAACTGGTAAATGTAGGTAAAGTGTCTTACTTCCTGTCTACCCTTCTAGGAAATTATTCAACACTAAGAGCCATGGGAACCTCAATTTATAGCTGGTTGGTCAGAAGCATGAGTGATGATATGGACCTGTGACTGGTATCTGAAGTGGGGGAAGTTTGAGGAGGTTGAACCATGGAGGTTCAGCCTGTGAGGACTGCACTAACTCCAAGTAGTTGGTGTCATTCTTGAATTGTAAGACACCCAGTTGGTATTCAGAGCATTAGAAAATTGCTTCACATGAGGCAAAAAATCCACATAGTTGGTGTCAGAAGTGTGAATGTGTAAGACTAGAACTCTATTCTTATTCTTATTCTTCTTATTCAAAAAGCATTTAGCAAAATTCAATATCTTTTCATGATTAAAAAAAAAACTCAACAAACTAGGAATAGAGAGAACTTCAATCTGAAGGGCATCTTAAAAACCCACAGCTAGAATCATAAAAGACTGAATGTTTCCCCCTTAAGAATGAGAAGAAGATAGGGCAACTATATAAGAAAATAAACAAAAAGCATCTAGATTTGAAAAGAAGTAAAATTATCTCCATTCATAGGTGGCATGAGCTTTTTTTATAGAAAATTCTTTGGGGGGGGCAAGGATTTAGCTCAGTGGTTTCGCTGCCTGCTTCACAAGTGCAAGGTCCTGAGTTTGATCCCTGGTACCAAAAAAAAAAAAAAAAAAAAAGGAAAGAAAATTCTTTTTTTTTAATCCATATTGTATGATTCCACTTAGAGATCATGGCCAAAATAGGAAAATCTATTTCAAAAAAGTTGAATTAGTGGGCTTTTTAAGAGTTGCAAATAGAGACAAGGAGAATAAGAGAGAAAGTTAATAGGTATAACATTGCTTTTTGGAGAAAACTGCCTTAGTGAAATCTCAGCAAACACACCTGGAAAGTGAGGAGGGGAGGGTGCCAGGAAGGAGGTTTCCAATCAGAAGTACCTGGACTAGGAGTACAGGTGAGTTTATGAGCTTGGCTGGCCCAGGATGCTCCAAGTTGACTTCAGTTTCCTGTAGAAAATTGCAACACCCTGGTTCTGCACCAGCTCCAGAGTGGGGAGGGCAGCTGCTTCTGACAGCCCCACCAGGCAAAAATCTCCTTAGTCACACCTGACACAGCACACAGGATGTGAGCGTGGGCCCAGACTCCTTGCTGCATATTACAAATTGTGGCATGTTGTGTTAAAAT